ACTACTGAAATTTCTTAGGGTCTAGCCTGTACACTTAGGATTAAGGTATAAATTAAAAATATTTTTTATTATTAATGTATGTAAAATTATAATACCATATCTTTCGAGTCAATTCACAACACGTGAGTTTGAGGTGCATTGTTTTTTTTTTCATGGGTTAACTTTCAGCCGGTCTCTTCACAATTTGTTAAAAAAAAACAAATGTATATAAAATTATAAAATTTGATATTTTTATTAAATGCTCAAACAGAAACAAGATTAATGGGCCTTTTAACCACTCGCTCTACCACCCACCGCATTATGCAGCCACGTGGCACAAAAAGTAACTTGCTCAAACAGAAACAAGATTAATGGCCCTTTTAACCATTCGCTCTACTACCCACTACATTATGCAGCCAGGTAGCATAAAAATTAAATGCTCAAACAGAAACAAGATTAATGGCCCTTTTAACCACTCGCTCTAACACCCACCACATTATGCATGGACGTAGCATAAAATTAAATGCACAAATGAGAAACCGGCTCCGGTTGGTAAAATTAAAGCAATGTACACCTACCCATAACACAAAATAAATTAAAAGAAAATTTTTTCTCTAAAACTCAATTAGATTGCTCTCCCCTCCACAGTCCACACAAAAAAAAAAAAAAGCCCAGACTTGGCGAGAAAAACGGCAAAGCTTACCCGCAAGAGAATGCTCCAAAGCTTAGAGCATTTCTGATTTCTCAATCCCCCGTTGACAATTTTTTTTTTTTAATAATTTATAATTATTTACAGGGTTAATTGGAAGAAGAGAGAAGAATTTCGTGGGGCTTGAACGTGCAACCAACTAAAAGTGAACATTCCTAACCCAAAGTACAATACCATTGAACTAGAGCGAGCCATTCCTCCGTTGACAATCTTGATGGAATGTTTAGGAAAAAAAAAAATTTTTCAACATAAAGGACAACAAACAAAAGAAGTTTCTTTCTCTAGAATTTAGAACTTATATTATTGTTAGAGAGAACGAATTTCCAGTTGTTGGATGATGCCTTCCATCTGCTTCTGAATTATTGGATTGTGTCGAT